AAGTTTCTCCCTCTTCTGCACCTCCCCAGGATTCAGCCACTTCTGTCCCCCCCCTCCCCCCCCACACTTCATCTCCAGTCCCCTTACTCTTCCCCTCCCCCTCTACTTTGGTACAGTCTATTACTGACCCAATCTTTACTCGCCCTCCTCCTATCTCCAATATGGTCTCCATACATCTTTGAATTCAGAACACTTGAAGACATTTCAGATATATTGTATAGAATAGACCTTCCAATGACACTTGAAAATGCACTTCCTGTTCCTTCTCTTCCCTCTCCTCCAACTTCACACCCCATTCTTCGCAAAGCTCAGTTCCTTCGCTACTTGAACTTCTTCCAATGCCACCACACGTTGACTTTTCTACCCCTCTAGTCCTAGGTGCCTTTTACCTAATAATTCCCATGAATTTTCTTCTCGCCAATCATGGCCTATTTACAGTGGGATATCCGCGTCCTCGGGTAATCGGGCGAGCTTCAGATGTAAGCTTTCCAGGTTTTCCCCTGTTTGTGCATGCTTACAAGAACCAAATTACACTCTGCCGTTTTTCCAACCTATCTCAGTCTATAAATTTTTTGTATTCATCGGATCTTTCCTCATAAGGGACCTTTAATGAAAGTGCCCCTTTCATCTACGCAATGAGATTCCGTACTGGTCAACTATTTGTCCATACCTCGCTGCATTACACTGCAGCCCCTATACCACTTTAATAAGTGTGTTTACAATATGTTCTTTATATCTCTCTCCATCTCGGAGCATTTTCTATCCAGACTTGCCTTTCTTGTTTCATCCCTTACCGCCACCACTTCAGTTTACTTTGTGATTTTAATGCCCCACCAATTTCCTTTGGTGGGGGGGGGTCCATTGTGACTCGCCGTGTGCATCCAATTTGGAGGCTTTTCTCGCCTCACACCCCCTCCATGTTTTAAATACGGGAGACTCCCACCCATTTTTGATCCTCGAACACCTACACTTGCATCGATCTATTCTTCTGCTCTTCCTCCACAGCACATAGACTCACCTTGCTGTTCTACCAGACTTGCCTTACAGCAATCAGTATACCGATCATTCTTACTTCTCCTTCCTAATCACCACCTTTCCGTAGCCCTCTCTGGCAATTTTGATCGGGCAAATGTGGGATCTTTACACCCACTCGCTGCTTTTTGTGAGGTTCCTTCTTCATCCTCCATTTGATGAGCTCCTACACATCTCTACTTCATTTTATACCTCAGCTTCTCAGTCTATACCCCCAAACCTCATGCAGGCATTTCAGAAGTGCGTGCCTTGGTTGTTCTCTCTGCTGTGCTCGTGCAGTACGTTTTGAAACGTGCTTCATAGGGCAGGTACCGTAACAATAGAACCGCTGAGAGACTCTTGATTTTAAGCAGAGCGTGCGATCTGCTCGCTGTGTCATCCGTTAAGCAAAACGCACTTTTTGGCGAGACTGTCTTCCCACCATCCACCTCGCTTCATCCCTATGAGTGCAGTCTTGAAAAACGTGTAGGAAATTGAGTGGTAAATACTGCTACTGACCCGTCTCCTGTTCTGCGGGTGCTTTGGTGTTTGATTGGGGTAAGCAAACCCCTCGACGTTGCCATTGAAACGTTTGGCCACACATCTGGTCCGTATTTTCCCGAGGGCTCCATCTATAGCCCCTCATTTCTTTCCTCAAAGTCTGCCAATGAAGTTTTATTACCCTTGGACTTTTTCTTCTCTCGGGATAAGAAAAGTATAATGTGCCTTTACACTTAAAGAACATTGAGGCAACGCTCTCAGCTTCTGATCATCGGCAGCTGGGCCTGACGACATTCAATATCGTTAATGTTACAACAATTACAACTCAGCCCTTGTATCCTCTTACACCTCTTCAATCTTATTTGGCCACAATGATTTCTTCCCCAATGTGGAAAACTGCCATTGTTTTCTCCCTTTCCACAAACCGGGTACTACAGGACATGATGCCACCCACTATTCGCCCCATCGTTGTTACTAGTGCAGTTTGCAAGTGATGGAAACGTCTCATATATCACGTTTAATGTGGTATTAGAGACGCACAACAGTCTCTCCGCTATTCAATAGTCCTTCATAAGGTCGTTTCTACCATAACACCTTCTACGCTTGGATACGTAATGTTTGTAATGCCATTTGCGGAATAATAGCTCAGTTATTGCCAAATTTTTTGACCTTGAGAAGCATATGATACAACATGAGTATAATATTTGGCCCAGGCCCATTCCTTAGGCCTCCGAGGCAATCTTCCATCCTTCCTTAAGAAATTTTTAACTGACATGACATTTCCGGTACCGAGTCATATTGTTCTTATCCCCGGACTTCGTCCCAAAGCTGAAGGTGTCCCCCAGGGATGAGTTCTAAGCGCAAACACTTTCTCCTTGCTAAAATGATTTGGCCTCTGTTCTTCCACCAATATTTGGTCCATCACTCATTTGATTACTTCGCTATTTCTTGTGCAGCGCTGACTGTCACCTATAGCATTTCTCCAGCATGCTGTCGATATTATTCATGATTCCACTTGGCCACCACGCATGGGTTTAAATTTTTCAAGTACCAAACCTCGCCAAATACTTTTCACTAGACTGCTCTGTTTATCTCCGATCATCCTTTGTATCTCTATGGCTCCCGTATCCCCGAACGTGATAGTCAGGTTTCTAGGCCTTCTCTTTGACCGTCGGTTATCCTGGAAACCTCACATTACCTCTCTGAAGGCAACTTGTCACAGCCGGCTAAACCTTCTTAAAAACCCTTGCTCGTCTTTCCTGGGGAGCTGATTGTCGAACTCTGCTTCGCCTACATTCAGCCCTCGTTTTATCGAAACTCGTTATGGTGACCAGATTTATTCCGCGGCCTCTCCTGCTACTCTCTCTAGCCTTAACTCTATCCATCACCAAGGATTACGTTTGTGCTTGGTGCTTTTCGCTCTTCCCCTGTTGAGAGCCTCTATACAGAAGCGAATGTTCCATCCTTGTCTGATCGCCGTGATGCCCATTGCCTTCGCTACTATGTACGCTCTCACGATCTACACAATCCTTCCATTTATAGAATGGTCACCGATTTTAGTAGACATTCTTTATTCGTTCGCCGCCCCTGTTTGCTCCGTCCCTTTTCTCTTCGCCTACATTCACTCTTGTCTTCCCTTCAGTTACCACCTTTATATGTTCATGTAGCATCTCACTTTTCCCTACCCCCTGGGAGTTCCAGCTGTTCGGGTCTGTTCTTTCTCACTCCCTTGCTCGAAAGCTCAACTGCCTACGGTGGCTTCCCGCTCTTTTTCTTGATCACTTCCACTCCCATTCTCATGCCACCGCTGTGTACACAGATGGCTCTAAGTCTTCAGATGGCGTCTGATTCGTAGCAGTGTTTCCGGACACCGTCGTGCGGGGGCATTTACTATCTTCAGCTAGCATTTTTACTGCTGAACTGTATGCCATTCTTGCAGCACTTATTCGTATCGCATCTATGCCTGTCATCATTTGTAGTAGTCTCAGATTCCCTTAGTGCTCTACAGGCTATACGAAAATTTGATCTCTCATCCCCTAGTTCTCCGTATCCAACTTTGGCTACACCGTATCTACCAAACATAAAGATATTGTTTTTTGTTGGGTCCCTGGTCATGTCGATGTACAGGGCAATGAACAGGCAGACTGCTACGCGATCAGCAGTACATGACCTACCGATTTTCTATCGAGGTGTTCCATTTCTGGACTATTTTGCTGCAATAGCTACCCACCTTCGCACCCGTTGGCAACGTTGGTCAACTCTGCTCGGTAACAAACTTCATTCTATTAAACCGAGCATAGGTTACTGGCCGTCTTCTTGTCATCAGTGCCGAGGTTGGGAGCCCACTCTCTCCCGCCTTCGCATTGGCCACACTCGTCTTACTCATGGGTATCTCGTGGAGAGGCACCCTGTTCTCTCTTTAGCTGTCAATTTTCCAGTATCGGAAAATTTTT